TTTGTGAAATGCAATTTTTTTTTAAATTGTCAACCAAAACTTATATTTTAGAAATGTTTTGGATAAATGTAGCACGGTGGAAATTCCACACCTGAGCTGTGAATAAGTGGGAGAAAAAAAAGTGTTTCTTTTATACTGTTGTAAATCTGCTCTATTTCCTGTGCATAAGTCCTAAGCATGTCAGCAGGACGCAGGTGAAATGCTGGCATGAATTTAAAACAATTTACTAAATGTACTAATTTTTTAACTTACTGGCCTTTTCCAGTGGTGTCTTGAAAAGTTTGTGAATCATTTTCCTTGTCAGCTTCTGTATAAAAAAGCATAACCAACAAAAAGGGAAAGGAGGGGAAAGCCATGGGCTGAATCATATGTCAGACTGATAAGAGCAAAATGAAACTACAAAATCAAACACACAAATCAAAATGTTTGGAATTTTTTTCCCCTGAAAATTGTATTCTCTATGTCACGGCTATATTTATAAAAAATCTGAATCATCGACGTGCATCACAGCTACGAAAGATAACAAAAACAGATAAAGAACTGATGCATTACCTTACTCACCCTTACTGCTTCCAAAGGAAATAAGCAGGAGCCAAGTGCTGATAATCAAATGTGTTGGTTACTCAATTATAAGCAGGTGTGAGCACTTTCATAAGGGTACACCTCATACTCTAACATGTCAAAGGTTAAAGTTCATGACAGCGAAATTTGAAAAATAGGGAACAGGTCTGGCTTGTGTAGAAGGGTTTCCAATGGAAAGCCTAGTCAGCTTTAGGATTGTTTATGCAGCTCGTACACAAATTTGAAAATAGCCTGTAAACATGAAAGGATGGACAAGAGATCTCTTTCCTCTGTCTGGCCTTTTTATTCCCAGACACATATATTGCAGTAGTTTATTAGTTAAGTTGATCACCTTTAAAGAAAGATCCATTAAATTGGATCTCTAATGGTTCAGAAGGTCAATGAGGACTAGCAGACATGTAGATGTATGTTTTTATGTTTTGGCATGCCATGAGCTGAACCATGACCTTCTCTTCTCCAAGGATTGTGTGACACTCTTTTGTAACCACACAGCTGATCTGACTTTACCTAAAGAGCTTCTTTCCCTTCCTCCTTCCAGAACTACAGAGCTGATTTTCTAGGGGTGATCAAAACTGAGGTTTCATTTATTTGTCTGTGTTTTAACTCAGCAGCTACATTTGGCGAAAACCAAACACCTTGGCACCTCACAGTCACTGAGACGATCATAGATTATTCTAGAGTCAAATGTGAGACCATCTGTCAGGTTTATATGGTTGATTGTCATTTATGCTTAGAAATATTTACTCATATATGCTTAGAGTTTATAATCGAATAGGGGTCTGATCCTTAGTAGTCTGCAAAGACTTTGTGTGCATTCCAGAACGTTCTGGCATACACACTCACACCCTAGGCTCATGACATGAGAGAGGTCGTATCTTCTCTTGCTGATATATGGTAAGGCAAACACATCTATATCTGTTTTAGTCTAAGTGCCTTTTGTTTAGATGAACTGCTGGACTTCCAGACCAGCAGGTTTAGGGAAGTTTTTTTTCGGACCCCCCACACACATGTACACAGACGGTACTCTTTGTTCACATGTGTAACTATGTTAATGAGCCTATGCATATTCATGTCACCTCAATAAAAGAGCAGTGTTACAAGGGAGCGGACGAGAGCGACCGAGGTCAAGCGAAGGAACGGCGCTAGTCTGGTTCTCTCCCTCATGGATGAGAAACACAAAGAACTTTGGTGACTTGTGTCTTGCTTTTGCTGTGTAGTAGAATTGTGTTGAACGTTCCGGCGAATAGGTTTATGCTACGAACCTTCACCATTTGTACGGTTTTCTGAAGCCAGAAGTTGCCTCATGTGGATAGTTATATCCATGTATACATATGGTATAGACCAGCGATCCGCAACCCCCGGGCCATGGACCACCGGTACCGGGCCATGAGAGTTGAGGCTCTGGCGTGAAATTCAAGGTTTTCAGGGTTTTTATCGTTTTTATCATTAACTCGGTTTCCCTTGGTCTTTTCCCGTGCGTTATGAATAAATCTTCTTTTTTTGTACCGGTACTGGTTTTATTTTGTTGTATTTCTCCGCAACACCTTAAAGGCCCGTCCATGAAAATATTGTCGGACATAAACCGGTCCGTGTTGCAAAAGAGGTTGGGGACCGCTAAAGCTGCATTCATAAACCGTCTGAGCACTGAAACAAATCAGCCAAGAAGGGCTAAACTAATCAAACTAATAATTTCACTCATCAGTACTGAAGCACAAACTTCTTCTGGTCTGTGCACAAACACCATCATATTATTTGGAAAATCCTTTAAAAACACCACAAAGATTCAAAAACATCACACACAGTGAAAAAACCCAGTTTAATGTCTGGATAGTAGATGAGGTGTTGCAGACATTCCTAATTCTGCCGTCCAGATGAATGAGTCAAAGAATGATTAAAGTTTATTTCAACATTGGAGTCTGTGGAGCCTGACTCACTTCTGACATCAAAGGAACTTCAGATTTTGGACTTTGGCCTTGGATTCAGTTTTCAGTTACTGAGGCCGCCCCCAGGTGTGACAGCTCAACCCGAAGTCTCATAAACTTGCATTCTTTCTGAAAAGTGAAAGATGACCAGATTTCTGGAAAGACCATTAGCGGGTCTGTTAAGATGCAAATTCTTTTAGTACCTCAAGTCAAGTGAAATGGCCAGATATTTCAGCATGAGGCTTCAGGACCGCTCTTCACACACAGGTGGGTCAAGGTGGTTAGGCCCATTCTTTCTAAACAGTCTATGTTTTGTCAGGATTTCTGCATCGTCAAAAAATCTTTAATCGAAATCAGTTATCTGCAAACACAATCTGACCAAACTATAACATATCCTGAAATTCTGGCAGTCTGGTCTTATATCAAAATGTGTATTTGTTTGTGCTCTGCCACATGTGGATGAGCAAATTCCAAGGGAGGAAATAAAAGGCTATCAAAGGACCAAAATAAGCAACTTTGTATGTGGTGTTAGAAGAGTGGATTTCCTGTGACTCAGGATTTCACGTGTGATGCCTAATACTACAAAAATAACACGAGGACTGCAGAACAAACAAGCGGATACATCTGAATTTCCTCTAAGGCTAAAAATTTCTCAGATTCTAAAAAGAAATTTTTTAAACATCCTTTCATGAGAGAAGTCTTCAGTATTTTTTCATGTTAATGGGAAAAGGACATTAAAACAATGTTCAGTGGAACAGGATGGAGTGAATCACAACACTAACAAAGACAGCAAGCTGGTATTTCGATTTAAATAGGCTGATATGTAGTCTTTCCTGTTTCCTCTGGTGACTTTTATACTCGTTGGGTTAAAACCATGTTATCTTTTCCAGTAGAGTTAATGTGATTTGGGGAAGAGAGGAGTGCAACACAATAAAAGATAAAAATCAAGTCTTAAGTTTGAAATCAGCTCCAAAGAGTCTTGACTCTGTTTGTAAGATGTTTAAAATGATTATGAAACAGTGCCCACTGTGTTTGGTTTGCGCAATTTACCAAATGTATTGTTGCCCTTTAAATAAAGGTGATGGATCCCTAATGACACGTCAGCACGGGTAAAACTGTACAGCAACACAGGAAGTAAACAAAGAAAAAGATAGTGGGAAGAGCAAAACAAATGAATGGTAGCAAAAGCATGGCGGTTACATATTGTTGAACGAGCAGGTCTTAAACCTGTAAGATGTGGTGCTGATGGATAAGAGCGGCACGTAGGTAGCATCAGCTTGGGAATTTTCACCACGCTGCTTCGACCCAATCCAAACCGCAATGCTGCCTTCAGCAAAAAAAAAAAAAACTTCCTTTGCAGTTGCAAGGAAGTTCTTTGTGCTTTTGACCCTCCAACTACAGTAGTGGGAGAAAGTGTTTAGTCCCTTTCCTGATTTCCTAGTGTTTTGCATATTTGTCACACATACATGTTTCAGGTCATTATCCGAATTTTAATATTATACAAGTAAATAGAACATGCAGTTTTTAAATGATGATTTCATTGATTAACCAAGAAGATGTATCCAAACCTACGTGGTTCTCTGTGAAAAAGTAAGTGCTCCTCTTGTTGAATCATGAATTAACTGTTATTAATCACATTTTTTGGAAAGTCGAGTTCAGTTTTACTGAACACACTCAGGCCTGGTTACTCGCAGACCTGCTGAATCAAGAAATCATGTAAATAGATCCTGTGTGACAAAGTGAAGCAGGCTAGAAGAATCAAATGGGAAACAAGGCAACTGACATCTATCAGTCTGTAAAGGGTTACAAAGACATTCCTGGGAATAGGGGAAGCTTCCCAGAAATGACTAACTGACTGAAATTACTCCAAGAGCACATCAACAACCCATCCAGAAGGTCACTAAAGAACTTAAAACAACATTAAAGAACTGCAGGCTTCATGTGTCTCAGTAAGATCAGAGTTCATGATTCAACAATGCAAAACTGGGTTCAAGAAAATCACTGCTGACCAAAAAGATCACAAAGGCTCATCTCAAGTTTGCCAAAAAGCATCTTGATGATCCCCAAGACTTCTGGGCAAAAAATCTTTAGACTGACGAAACAAAAGCTGAACTTTTTGGAAGGCGTGTGTCCCGTTACATCTGATATATCTGACATGTGAAAACATTCAGCATGAGGTTTCAGGGCGGAGCTTAACACACCAGGGGGTCCTGCTGGCTACGTCCATACTGTCTAAGCAGTCTGTGAGATTATCAGGATTTCTGCATAAAATGTGCCTTGATTTCAATCTGAGCCAGAATTGTAAACAAACACAACCTGACAAAACTGATCACACAACAGAAAAAAAAAAACAGATGTGTTGTTCACATTTTTATTAAACACAATAACTGCTTGTTTAGCAACATCCTCCATCACGTTTCTCATTACGACAGAGCAGCCCGGTCTTGTGGCAAATGTAAATTAACCTCAAAGAAATGGACGCGGTGACCTTTTTTCTAACTGAAACCAAGTGGTTTCAAATGATAATTAATGCATTTAAATCATTCAAATATTTAAAATTCATTGTAAAATCTGTGACATGTGGGACTCAAACTTGAGTGTGTGTGAGCAGCTCCACCACCTACTGCTCCAGCCTCCACATGCAGACTTTTCCAACTTTTAAGTGAAAATAATAATTTTGTATGTACAAATACATATACTAGTAGACAGATGAAAAACTATGTTCAGGAACATGACAAAAACAATGGAAAACTGTGCACAGAAATACAAATGAACAGATTAGAGGGTCGTCTTTTTAAACTTTATTTCAATTTTTGCCCAAGTAAGTGCTCGAAGGTGTTTCGGGGGAGCTGCTGAGGGGTCAGAATTGCTTCTATAAGGACTTTGGCATTTCCTGTAACTTCGTATGAGACTTGCACAATGATGAAGAGGATTTCAGAACAATTCCTCCTATCAAACAGCCCCTTTCAGGTCCTACCACAACATCCCTGGACTTTATTCATTGGCGTCTTTGAGTTATTGCTGGGTTGCATCACCCCACCTCTCAAAAGCTTTTGCTCATGAACTCCTGCTTTGATGTTCACTTGAAAATGTCTTTGTAACGTTTTATAATCATTGATCTCTCACTGAGTGTAAAGGTGTCCAGGACCTCAAGGTGGCTCCACCCTCCAACTTGCTTCACAGTCATGATGCGGTTTTGGTGCCTTTTTCCCTCCAAACATAATTTCTTGTCTCATTTGTCCACGCAGCAATACCTTAAAAATGTCGAGAAACTGCCAAATGGTCTTAAGAGAAGTGCATTCAATGATGCCACTTGGGGCCACCAAAGCTGATTTCTTAAAATGCAGAATTAAGACCAGCAAACTTTCCTCTGAACAAAAATACTTGTAAAAGTGATGATGAGGAGTATTTATTACAAAATAGGGCTGGATTTTAGTTGTAAGGTGCAAGAAGCTGATGTTTTACAACATTAGTCCGCTTTTTTTGGCTTGCGATTCTTCCACATGATGACAACGGTGAAGGCTCCTGCAGAGAGGATAACAGGCATTAGTGTTCATTGAATTAGATAAGCAGATAACTTGGCCTGCAGTTCTCATGGTGGACTGACCTATACAGATGAGCAGTATTACTGCTGCGATTCCAGGCAGAATGACTGAGTACTCCCGAGGAAGAAAATACTTGTGCAGGAAGTGATCGCTGTCCACGAAAGGCTGGAAAAACGACCAAAACAACCATGTTAATGTGTGGTGTCAAAATTACTGTCTGCGAGTCACATGACGCAGTTCCACACCTAGACTACAAAAAGCAACACGAGGAATGGTGCACTAAAAGGCAGATACAAAGCTACTGGTTAGTTTCTGGACAGGATTTTTTTTCCTCCATTCCTTCAAGACGGAGATCTAGTTCAGTATTTTTTTTTATGTGAATGGAAAAAGCAAATCAAAAAAAAAGGGGAAGGTGGAATAGGATGGAAGTGAATCACAAAGGCAACAGACTGGTGTACTTTAGTTTAATGTGCTTGTTATTCGAAGTTCTTTTTCAGTCTCTCCTGTTTCCTCTGGTGACCTTTATACTACATCTGGGCTGGAGCCATGTTAAACAAAGAAAAGGATGGTGAGAGGAACATGGCAAAGTCAGGACATTACATAAACTCTACAATGAGATTGTTCTAACAGACTGTATCTCACAGCTTCCACAATGCACAAACCAACGAACTCACCAAATAAAAGCTTTTGGCTGGAACCTGGACTAAATTAATTCAAAGAATACACGGAAGTCTCTAATAAATAAAAAAAGACTGGGGTGACATAATCAGTTACATGAGCTGGGTGCTTGACTTGTAGCATGTGCCGGTGTAGTTTATGTAGCGCCAGCTCGGTAATTTGCTTTGTTGTGCCACAGGCTAGTTAACATCAATCACAGTTAAAACAACAATTTAACCCCCCCCCAAAAAAAAACCACCAGCTTCCATACAGGGAGTGCAGAATTATTAGGCAAGTTGTATTTTTGAGGAATAATTTTATTATTGAACAACAACCATGTTCTCAATGAACCCAAAAAACTCATTAATATCAAAGCTGAATGTTTTTGGAAGTAGTTTTTAGTTTTAGCTATTTTAGGGGGATATCTGTGTGTGCAGGTGACTATTACTGTGCATAATTATTAGGCAACTTAACAAAAAACAAATATATACCCATTTCAATTATTTATTTTTACCAGTGAAACCAATATAACATCTCCACATTCACAAATATACATTTCTGACATTCAAAAACAAAACAAAAACAAATCAGCGACCAATATAGCCACCTTTCTTTGCAAGGACACTCAAAAGCCTGCCATCCATGGATTCTGTCAGTGTTTTGATCTGTTCACCATCAACATTGCGTGCAGCAGCAACCACAGCCTCCCAGACACTGTTCAGAGAGGTGTACTGTTTTCCCTCCTTGTAAATCTCACATTTGATGATGGACCACAGGTTCTCAATGGGGTTCAGATCAGGTGAACAAGGTGGCCATGTCATTAGTTTTTCTTCTTTTATACCCTTTCTTGCCAGCCACGCTGTGGAGTACTTCGCGTGCGTGGTCGCAGCCTTTCTTACCTTGGCCATGTCTCTGAGTATTGCACACCTTGTGCTTTTGGGCACTCCAGTGATGTTGCAGCTCTGAAATATGGCCAAACTGGTGGCAAGTGGCATCTTGGCAGCTGCACGCTTGACTTTTCTCAGTTCATGGGCAGTTATTTTGCGCCTTGGTTTTTCCACACGCTTCTTGCGACCCTGTTGACTATTTTGAATGAAACGCTTGATTGTTCGATGATCACGCTTCAGAAGCTTTGCAATTTTGAGACTGCTGCATCCCTCTGCAAGATATCTCACTATTTTTGACTTTTCTGAGCCTGTCAAGTCCTTCTTTTGACCCATTTTGCCAAAGGAAAGGACGTTGCCTAATAATTATGCACACCTGATATAGGGTGTTGATGTCATTAGACCACACCCCTTCTCATTACAGAGATGCACATCACCTAATATGCTTAATTGGTAGTAGGCTTTCGAGCCTATACAGCTTGGAGTAAGACAACATGCATGAAGAGGATGATGTGGACAAAATACTCATTTGCCTAATAATTCTGCACTCCCTGTATGTCCATGTGACTGATGTGATTTCAGTGAACTGAAGAGAACTTACCAGGATGATGACCCAGACAGAGTAGTACGTGAACAGCACGAGGCTGAAGACAACAAGACTCATGCCAGCCGCTTGATCCACTCCAGTAGCCTGAAAACATATCCACAGAAAAACTGAGCACGAGGACGTCGGTGTTAAGCATGGCACTGGTGGTCGTTTGAGGCTTTATGCAGACTAATGTGAATGTGGTTAAAAGTTTAAACCCAGACGTCAGGTTGTCGTCAGAGGTGAGACACTAAATTTCCCATAAAGCAACTGGAAAGGAGATCCTCCTTGTTGTTACTTGGATATTGAGCACACTTCATGGCACCATCCTCCCCTGGCAAACATTAGCTTTGTAATTGTCAGTTTTGGCCAAATTTAAAAATACTCATTAAGACTTTACATCACATCCTGACCAATAAACTGTGATTCTACCTTTTTTAAATAAATGTCAAACAGCAACAAGAGTAAATAACAACAAAAATTGCAGGTAAACTTTTACTAAAAAAAAAATTTGGATCAATATAAATAGTTATCTTTATTTACAGGCACTTTTATAAACCCGCATTTCAAAGGAAGTCATGTAGTCAAAATAACGAGCAACAATCAATCAAATAAATGAAAACTCAACAAGACGTTGATTCAATAGATCTCGAATCAAAAGATCTCCAGTACGAGGTCACGAAAACAACGGCTCCATCTACAAGGTCAATTGCAACTAAACATGACAACCTTTGCAGCTAAAACAACCACTGACACTACAGCAACTTCAACTTCATCATTCATCTGCAACTAAATCAACCTCTGAACCAACTCATCTAAATTCACCATTGCAACTATACCTGCAACTAACCCCAGTGCTGCAGGTTAACTAGTTAGATTTGTTTACATGTTCTACTCTCCGCGTTCCAGATGTTGGATCCTCTGTCTGTCAGTGTATCTGCAGCTTGGCAAGATTAAAGACCTTGGGGGGGGAAAGTCTCCATCTGCAGCTTGTGCAAATGCATACACACATCAAAATTATCTTCAGACAACAAATAAATTGTTTGGATAAAAAAATAAATCAATCATAAAGTCTTCTGCCTGGTCTCGTACCCCTGTCTTTCTTTAACATAAATAACAGCTGACATTTTCTCAGGACACCACCGATCAGCTCAGCTGACCTCCACTTTCCCCTCTGAGTGACTAATCTGGGTTAAAGATGACAAACGTGATTTAAAGGAGGACCGATGGATGCTGAGCACCAGATCAAAAACACACACTTAAACCTACGTCCTGTTTCTAACCTGACTGATAAGCTGCTAAGTGCTTTATAATTCAGCTGTGAGTTCGGTGAGTTTTCTGAAGATACTTGAGAGGATGACTGTGGTGGGGCGTGGTCTGCGGTGCCGTGCAGGGAGGGCGGACGCACCTGCACTGCATCCTTAATCACGCCCGCCGAGTTAAAACACGGGGACTCAGGGGTTGGTGTGCGTGGTGGTGTGATCTAAATAAACGGCTCATAAGTGCGATATGTGGTCCCGCCGAGCCTTAATTCCACCACAATGATTTTTAATCGTTTCAGCAGATCAGTAGCAGCTATATTACTGACGTACACGGGTACTAATCCAAACAGTGTGGGTCATTAATTCTATTTATTCCATATCCAAACAGCCCAAATTCTTATTAAAGCAACAGGTTTGCTTATAAAGTGGTCCATCGCGCCATCCGTTTAAATCCTGTTTGTCATCTGTCATCCAGATCGGTCACTCTGAGGGGGAAGAAGTTCCAGCAGCTCTGCGCTGAAAAAACAAACTACATTTACTTATTTTGTGCACAATATTGTGATGACGTCACGTTGTATTGCCCATGTTAAACTGTGACTTTCACCAGATAACGGGGGCGTGTTTCCTGAATCAGCAGGCGCTAAACAGGGTCTACGCAGGTAAACTCGAGGGTGTTTAGAAAGAAAGACAGAGCTAGGAGACCAGACGGAAGACTTCATGGTTTATTTATTTGTTTAAATTTAAATAACTTAATTGTTGTCTTAGGATAATATTGACGCGTGTATGCATTTTGCATCATCACACTAACTCCATCAGCACCTGCCAATTAAACTAACAGCTCGAGCTACAACGCTGCCTGCACCGCAGCACGGCGACTCTGACAACTAAACCAACAGAAGCATCTGCAGCCACCAGGTGTTCCCCCATTTCCACAATAAGATGCATTAAAAGGAGACAATCTTGGGAATCCCCTTTAAGCTGCAACGGCACTGCGCAGCCGCACCAAACTTCATTCAAACCTTCACCGTTTTAGTCAATTTGATAATTATCAAAGATATTTGATCTCCTAACTTCATAAACATGCAACATACGAATTAAAAAAACACTCCCAGTAAATTCGGCGCTGAAAAATGTTACCAGGTCAGTTAACTTATAATCCCCAACCATGAAGCTGACTGCTAGCATGAAGCTAAAAGAAACAAATGTCACAGCCAAACAGCAAAGATTAGCTCTGAAGCTAATTACGCTTAAACTGATAAAATTTCATTAAAGTATTAATTTGTCTCTGCTCGTTTATCAGCTGTTTAAAAGTAATCACAGCAGCTTTCTTACCATTTCTCACCCACACACGGGTAATGTTGTTATTTGCTGACGTATCCTGGTGCTCTTCTTCCTGTTCAGTAATCCGGTTGATACAATTCATCTAATGGTCTCTGATGCCCTCTCGTGGTTCTTCTTACAGCAGTACCGCACTACCGTCACCAACTGGTATGGAGTGTGGACCGAAATGACCCCCCAAAATAAAAACATTCAAATTCTCCGAAACAAATGAGTCTTCCTTAAAGACCAAAATATGGCTTGATAACTTTCACTTTTACAGTTCTTGCGAAATAAATCAAACAAGTCCAGTTTCACTTTTATATCGTCAAGCTTTTTCATCAGTTGTCTTCTTTCAGCATCAAATTTCTAACAATCCAATAAAACATGTTCTCTATTGCAGTCACACTCCTCTGTGCAGTGTTTCCCTATTAATAAAAGCAAGGTGCTATTCAAACCAGTGTGTCCGAATCTAAGTCGAGATATAACCGATCTGTGTAGATTCTGACAGAACTGTAATGCTGAGTAATATATTCTTGCACTGTATGCAAATAATATAGAATAAGGATAAAACCCCTATCCTCATTCTTTTTGTTTAATAGTGTGAAACATACTACTGTATCAGGGAGTATCCAAGGTGGTATTGTAGGCAACTGTACTGTTTGACTTATGTTGATCTTGTCCAGGTTAAATTCAGCTGCTTCCTGCACCCAAGGTTCTTCAATTCTCTTTTGTCTTTTTCCCAGCATGAAAAATATTTTTTGTTGGATGATCTTGACCATGTCCTTGTAAAGCCCCTTCGTGGTTTACCTGCTACTGCAGCTTCATAGATCACAGCATCACACGCATGTTTGAGGCAAATAAACACAAAAACAAAACAAATGGAAAAAATTGACGTTGACACATTGTATTCAGAAAAATATTTTATAATCACCCCACAAACCATAAAATACTGTTGACAGACATTATAAAAATCATTTTTTGCTTTATTTTAATGTGAATAAAAGCAGAATAATTAGATAATCATTTTATACCTGCACTGAAGTGGAAAATAGTAAGGGGCAAATGAAATTCTCATTGTCCTTCAGAAAATTCAAGCTGTTTGGTTTCAGGTCATTTACATATTTCATTAAGTTGAAGTGCCCCTGATTTTCTTCGAGATGCTTTTTATAAGATGATTTTTTCCCCCTTCTTGTTCCATATCTGGAGTTTGACAGTAAATCTAGAAGTCAAGACCAGGCCTTTGCTGTCCTGATGGATCATCACAGTAACAACTGACATGTTTTATTGCAGAGCAAAGACAGCTTTTAAGAGGAAGAACCACTCTGTGAATTCTGTAAACAGTGACACAGGATAATGTGAGGCCATCCATCTGAAAGTTCAAAGTTGAATTAGAACTGGACTTTTCAACAGTACCAATGATCCTTAGTACGACAAATCCACCAAAGGAGGACTCAAAAAAAGAAAGGAATGAGAACCAGATTCCTTTCATTCCTGGAGCATCAGATAACAGCGTTTTGGCATTGCTGCTTGCGTGTTTCAGGTATGCACAAGGTGTCCTTTGGTGCTGTCATGCCTAAACCAAACAATTCTCAGGGCCTAAACCTACCTAGTGAATGGCAAAAAAGGAGGTCAGTAGGTGAGAAAAGAGAGTCCAAGTGCAAATCAAGAAGGTCCAATCAGCTCCAATCAGGTCCACAGCTCCCTGGCTGCAGGGTTGATATGTACGGTGAGTTTGTGGCACCCTGGATAATAAGGCCTTATTCAAAGCACAGATCTAAGTAAAGATAATTTTTCCTTTTTTTTTTTTTGAAAAGTGGATGAAAGATTTTAGCAGGTTAGCATCAGAGACTGGTGGACAATCATGCAAAACGCCAAAAAGTAATTTCTACTAAAGAAGAAGTGACTTCTGATACCAGAGGTGTAGTTATTCTTTTCTATAGAATAATTTCACTTAAAACAATAATAGTTTTGATGATGATCAGAAAGTCAGGTTTCCCTCTTCTTGATCAAATATACCACCGTCTCCTGAAGGCATCGTTTCAACTTTTGTTTGTCGCCATATTTTCATTGCATGTACTTACAAACTTTTCCGGCGTGACTGTATATAATAACACTTGTGTTAAGGTGTAGTATCATGTGACATGTGCAAACAAAGAGATGAGGCAGTTAAAGAAAGAAGATAAATCCAGACTTTGACAGTTTATTTGGTTTTCATGTTCATCACAACTCCTCCGTTCACATGTAGTTATTAACATTTATTAACATTGTAGTTATTCTTGGAACATTTCCCAGTATTTTAACACAAGGAGTAAAAATATGTGTGCACGGAGTTAGAAAGCATTTGAAAACAAAAAAACAACAACTGATTTTTTATTCTCAAAAACCCAGAAATGCACCAATTTATTCAACAAAATTATTTTCACCCAACATTAATACTTATATTAGATATTTTATATGCATTTATTATATTTCTACACATTTAGTGATTTTACCTTTAATATAAATACATTTTAAAATATGGTGGAAAATGTTTTGTGAAATATATATTCCCTTTACCAAACCCCATCTTGTTAAATCAGTACCACAGCTACCACTGCAACATAACCCTGGCCCCAACAATTTCATTTCAAATCATCAGAAATGATAATAATAATAATAAGAAACATTTCACCACACGCAGAAATTGCTTAATAAGATCACAAGGTTACATATGGTCAAGTACAAAGAAAGAGTAAGTATTTCTAGAAGAAATCACAGTAGCAGACAGATCCCTTTACTGCACACTTTCCCCAGTAACTCCAGGCTGCACTGTAAATAATTACTGTTTAGTCACATCTTACCATAAAATATAAGCTTTTACACACAGATCTGTGCTGCAGACCAGCCTGCTGGTCTGGAAATAAAAGGAAAATAGACTATATGGTTACCACATCACACATTTCATACATACATACACACAACAATGACAAACATGGACTGTTAATGGAAAATATGGCGATAAAGGTAGGTGCATAATTATTAAATAGTACAGGTTAAAGTTGGGGATCACTTAGAAAAGTGCTTCAAAAAATTAATGTATCATACATACATGTATCTATGACAGACTGTTACCTAATGCAACAGTGTGTACTACTCCCTTCATTAATGAACCCAGTCTGACTGTTATGGTTACCGTCTAATGAAGCTGCAATCTGAACACCTTATGGACTTTGTCAGTTGTGAACCTCTTTCTTTTCTGGTGACAGCCAGTTACTGTGTTCTGTGGAGGGAGTAGTACGCATGGCTGCATGAAAATGTCTGCCTGTAGCTCTGCCTGTCCCATTATTGAAAATAAACACAAAAACAAAAACAGTTTTTGCCAGATTAAGTGAAAATTTCAGGTTATTATCTAAAAAAATCTAAGTTCCTAGCTCAAACATCTGAGAAAAGAACTTATTCTTTCAGTGGCAGAAACAAGCTTCCATATTCTACAAATTATGAAAGCTGTGGATAACATCCAGAGCCTAACGACTTTATATAATGATTAGCAGGCTTTTTAATATGATAAACCTCCAATGGTTAACACAGCATCGGAGGATTTATAATTAACAGTTTCATTAATCACATTTTATTTAAAATAGTTAACATGAATTTAATGTTATATTAAATAAAAAAGAAAACTACTTTATTTTCAGCAAAGAAGGACTTTTCTAAGCAATCCTAACCTTTTGAGGAGTAGTGAACCTAACAAAACTCTAGATGTCCCAAGTATCCAGTACTTGCTTACAACTTACTTATACTTTTGCATGACTTGATGCACCAGAAGCTTAAAAAAACTGTCTATTATACAGTACATCCTTTCATATCAGTCAGAGATGCATGGCCCGCATGCACATCTTGCAGCATGAACATAATCACAAATGCACAAATGAGTCCGGTGGGGGGGTGAAGATCTATTGTATACTGTCAGTACTCGCACAACAGAGGCTTTGTGCTGCTGCAGCTGTGGGACTGACCTCACTACAGCCAACACCAGCCCACAGTATCACTGCTAGCTCAACACGCTAAGTCTGCACAAGCCTTGCAAAAGCAATGAGGAAAAAGGAGTTTTAATTTTCCTTGTTGCAGCACATGCACAAAACCTAAACTGCCCAAAGCTACAAAATGCAGAGTTCTGACTGAAGTTAATCTTTTTGGTAAAAATACTGCGTTGTTTGTCAGTGTGAAGCCAGAACGATGGCAGGCTATGAGCAAGTAAAACGACATTGATTGTGGTTCCAAAGGTGAATGAGCACCTAAATGGATGGATGCAAAAATAGGCAATGCTAATATTGTGCTTATAGTCATTTTGCCTGCTAACGTCAATTTCTTAGCTTGTTGTGATGTCACTTGTTGTTAAAAAGGGTTTATTTCTTACTTTCTGTTAAATATATAATATTATAACGTTACATATTTTACAAAAATGAGGTAAACACTGATAAGAGTAGTTCCTGTGAGCAAAAAACATTCTGCTCTCATGATGTGCTGATGTCAGTTTTGCATGAAATAGACAATACAGCTCAGAAACCCTGATTTGCTCCTCTGCAGGCTTCCAGAAGCTGACCAGTCATTGGAAAGTTGGCTTATAACAAGAAGGTTCTTATAAAGAGACAGGTGCTTAAACTATTTCTCTTAGAGAGTGGATGAACTGAGGGGCTAGTACCATTAAAAGTGTGGAGCAGTGGAGCAGAGCAGGCCCTCAATATAGATCTCCTGCCTTAAAATGCACACATTCTGGATTCAGCCTATTTGTGTGTACTTAATATCAGAGAAAGGCCAACGTTGGAAATAAAATGTGGCTGAGAAAGGAAGTAAAGCCCCCACAAAACCTCACATTTATGACAGGTTTATGAGATCATTGGAATTTAAAAAGTTAATAAGTACTTAGTAAGTGCAGAGGATGGATGGTTACATATGGCCAGCCATATGAACAAAGGCTCTGCGGGCATTAAGCCAACAGAGATGAAATAAGATATTTAAAAACAGAAGATTTCATGTTGTTTCGGACAACTGTGCCACCTCTGTTTCCTTTTAGTGGTTTCTAATTCGCCTCGGAGAGTTCACATGTGCAAAACAGTGTAAATAAGTA